AAATACTTTTGCAGAGGGCTGCCACCTGTTTGAAAGGTCTAACTCAAATAACTAGTTCAAAAAGTATATGAGATATAAAAATACCGTAGCCAAACAAAAGAATGTTAAGAAATCTTTAGTTTGAACATTTCAAATGTGTGAAGAGAGTTACCATGTGTTTATAAAGTTACATTCAAATTATTCTGTAAGTTGGATGAATTATTGAAAGATGGGTACAAATCGAAATGGGTTTGAAAGGGATTTATTCCTGACCTTTACGTAGGAAGGTTGCCATTTGTTCGAACAACCAAATTCGAATTAGTTCATCGGTTTATTGAAATACATGTGTATCACAATATCAGACGAAAGAGGTTCAAGAAGATTTTAGTTTGAGAATACTTTTGAAAAGGAGTTTCAAAAATTAAAGGTTAGATTAGAGACCTTAGCCTGTAGATGTATGATAACGTTTTATTTTTTTAATTAAGATTATTTTTCATTGGTATAACGCGACTTGAAATTCGATGAAAATAAAAAATATGCGAGACTGCTCTTCACTCAGAAACAGCTGCACGGTTTTGATGAAATATGACACTCGGACCTCTTAAAACTCTGACTAACATTTGGAATACTTTTTAAGTTCTTGAAATTCAATTTTGGGCGTTTAACGCCATGCGGGTTCACTAGTAAATTTAGTAAATGTCTTAGACTAAAATTAGGTGGCAACCCTAGTGAGACATACGCTAGAATGAAAAGTATATATATTGAGTGCATATGTACTATGTACACTTACTACATAGATACAAAAAATGCTCATTGAAATAAGTCAGATAGAAATTAAATTAAATATATGCAGAATGCACAATAGGTAGCAAAACCATTCAAAAATATTTATGAATTAGATATTTTTTAAATAATTTCTATTTGATGTTTTATTTAATTTGTAACTATGTAATACCTTCTTTTCAATTTTACTGCAGAGCCACGATTTGATGGTCATGATTAACAAGAGCTCAATCAAGTTAGCGGCGCTAAAATGAAAAAATGAAGAAAAAATTTGTTCGTATTATTGTGCTCATTGTGTGCTATTTTCGGCCACTTTTCGTTTTTTTTGTGCTCCGACCATTTGGTAAATAATTAGGACTTTGCTAAGTTAACCGTAACTTAGCAAAACATTCATTCAATGAAGTATTTTTACTACTTTTCTGGGCTTATTTTTTTGTGCTTTTTATGGGCTTTAAAAATATTGCCCGGTTAACATTGAAAAACCGTTTGACGCCACGCTAGCTAACCCACTTCTTAAACTTTGGTCGAACACGGATAAATAGTATTGAGGAATTACGTGCTATTTTTGGGCTTTTTAGAGTCACCTAAATAATTATAGGAGCTCATCCAGTTTCCGAGATAATTAAGACTTTGCTGGGTTGAGTGTAACTTAGCAAAACATCCATCCAGTGAAGACTTTTTACTGCTCATCTGGAATTATTATTTTGTGCTTTTTATGTGCTTTGCAAATCTTGCCCGTTAAACATTGAAAAATCGCTAAAAAAATATTGCACCGTAAACATTGAAAAATCCACTTCTTAAACTTTGGTCGAACACGGACAAATATTATTGAGGAATTACGTGCTATTTTTGGGCTTTTTAGAGTCACCAAAATAATTATAGGAGCTCATCCAGTTTCCGAGATAATTAAGACTTTGCTGGGTTGACTGTTACTTAGCAAAACATCCATCCAGTGCAGACTTTTTACTGCTTAATTGGGTTTATTATTTTGTGCTTTTTATGTGCTTTGCAAATATTGTTAAACATTGAAAAATCGCTAAAAATATTGCCCAGTAAACATTGAAAAATCGCTTGACGTC